TAAAGGCTTTCGTCTATGGCAACGTCTCTTCAACGGTATGACAGGGTTTTCCTATGGGCGTCCTCTTGAAGGGTGGGGAGGGTGTTGGTGTTATGGGTGGTTATGAAGTGAGGAGGACTGTGGTGATGGCGCATTTGTTAGCATGTGACAGTTGGTTTATTGGTTTTGGTAAAGCAGTGTGGTTTGTTTGGGAGTGGTGATGAGGTGGCGTGAATTTTCCTTCGGTGTGGGTGTGCGAGTGAGAGTGGAGACACTGGCGTCATGAGAGTGATTGAGAAGACGAGTGGACTGCGGTATGTCGTCATGTTGGGTGGTTGTTTGTGAGTGTGAGAAGGGCGAGGCTGTGGTTGAGGGGTTGAGTGGGGAGGAGGAGGAGGCGATGGGTGGTGGTGGTGGTGGTGGTGGTGGTGGTGGTGAGGTTGAGGGGGATGGAAGGCGAGTGTTGAGGCACGATGTGGGTGATGTGATTGGTAGTGGTGGGTGTGGAGTTAGGTGGGATTGAGGTTGTTGATAGGGGGAGGGGAGGGGAGGAGTGCGTGGCTAATCGTCTGCTACGGTGGGTGAAGCGGTGCCTCGTGTGAGGGCAAATGGGCGGAGTGGCGACACATGCGTGGTTGGATGGTTGGGTGGGTGATGATGCGTGAGGTGGATGCAGAATGAATGGTGGAGATTGGGGAGGAGTTAGGAGGAGGAGGAGTGGAAGAGGTAGGATGGGAATGGAGGATGTGTTGAGTGACCGTTGTTTTTGTATTGTTTGAATAGGAGGCGAAGGAGTTCGTGGACTACACGCTGTCCACACTGAAACCACGTGAGGTGGCAGTGTTGAAACCTGTGAGTGCCTAGATGAGTTGGTGATTGTGTCGTGGAAGGTGGTTGAGGTGTGAGTGATGTGACACTCTTGTAAATTGCAGTATCCGAAGGCGGCGTTGCCGGCGTGCTTGAATCGGTTGCGTGTGATGAATTTCAACAAGACGGATGTGAACACGTCGCTGGTGTTGGTGAGTCCGTTGCAGGGCACTCCTTCGAACGATCTTCGATACGAAGTGATGAATGAGTTATTGGAGGTGAGTTATGATTCTGTCATCCTTTAATAACGCTTTTTATGGACACTTTCCCTTGTCTTGTAGTCCTGTTTACAAGAGTCGGCTTTTGCTTATCTGCGGACGAGGGAGACACTGGGGTACGCAGTTGGCCTCTACAGTTGGTCATTGCCCAGCACCACAGGTCAATGCGGTCTGTCTGTGGGTGTGAGCAGTCAGGCGAACAAGTTTGACAGCAATTTGGTGGCGGGACGTATGTATGCCTTTTGGTACCGAATTGTGCCTTACATCGTGCTTCACCTCAACGAGGAGGCCTTTCAAACGTCGGTAGGTGGAATGTATTCTCGCGCAGGAGAAGTTGGTTGTGCAGGACAGTTGGTAGATGCATGATGTCATGTGTTGGTTGAAGTGAGAGCGCATTTGTAGTGAGAAAGTGGCACAAAAAGTTGTATTGGTTGGTTGGTTGGATGTTGGATGCGAGGGTGGGGTTGTTCCAGTTGTGGGAATATGTGGAGCATGTTGAGAGTAGAGCATGGCAGGGGAGAGGAGAGGAGAGGAGGGAAGAGGAGGACGCGGTGTGATGTGGATGGAGTGGCGTTATGGGAATTGTGGAGACTGAGTGTTTGGTAGGCTGTTGGTAATTGAGACCGTGTCGGAGTGGATCATGGAGGTGGTGAATGAGGTGGAGAAGTAGGGCGAAGTTTTCTTTTATGATGAATGTGTTTGATTGTGTGTCAAAGGTGGAGGCACTGATAGCTGCGAATCTTCTGGAGGACGCAACAATGAAGGTGGAAATTAACCGCAACAAGAAGGAGGTCTTCTCGGATCGTCCCATGTTTGACCGTCGTCAAAAATCGGTATGTTCTAGCTTTCGTTTATTTAATGTTGCTTTTCATTCTGCAATGTGAGCGCTGTCTGCGTCTCCTCTTTAGGTGGAAATTCTGCGGCAATTAAAGTTGAGTGAATTGCAGAAGTTCTACAGGGAGACATACTACAACTTTGAGAAGCAGCCAGCCTTGATGATCCAGGTGTGTGTGTGTGTGTTTGCATGTTTCATCTTGCCTGAACTACTTCTTGCTGCTCTGAATCCGCACGGCATTTTGTCGCATATGGTTGTTGACCTTAAAGGGAGACTGAGCTGTCCGTCGCGGGCTCAGGGGGCATAGGAGGGGAGTGGGTGGACCTACGTGTTAGTTGCTGTCCGAATGGATTTCATCCCATCCTGGTTACTGCATGACCGACCTCCTAAATATGGTCATGTACATGATTGCGTGTTGCTATGTTCGCCTTGGCCTTATGTGGGACTTAATGGGTCTTAATGTGCTTCATCACACTGTTGATTGTCATTTTAAGTACTTACATTGGGTGGTTCGTGTTTGGAACAATTTTTTTAGACAAAAGAACCGCTCTTATAACGCAATGAGGTACGAGTGACCCCGAGGGTCGCTGTTTAAGGCTCTTATCTACGCCTTTGTCATTTTCTCATGGTTGGACGATATGAGGTGTCATAAATGTCATTGGAGTCAATTGGAATAGGTTTTTGGCCACATGAAGGCCCATGGGTTTACCTGTTACTTCCACTCTTTTTCTCTCTTCCTCCATTTCGCTCTATTTGCCTCTTAGGTTGACGCCCTTGAGGATGTGTCATCAGAGGTTTCACCAAAGGGCGAAAGCTTGAAGTCTCTGAAGACCTTTGACTGGCCGCTCTGTGTTGTTCCAATGAACAAGAGTCAAGCCGAGGCTGAACAGAAGGCGGCTCTCGAGGTGGATGTGCGCGAAGCCGTGCGTGTATGCGCGCCCAGTCTGGTCACTGATGCCGCCAAAGGCGACCACATCATCGGGGAGAAAGGCGTTCACGTCACTCTTCCACGGATTGTGGAAATAGCGGAGGTGCATGATTTTAAGCACAAAGTCCTCTTTCCGTTGTCAACCTGAAATTTTATGTGTTTTGTGTGGTTAGTTCTCGCCTCTCTTGATTGTACGGTATGCGAGTATGGAAGTTAGCTGACAACTTTGGACTGAGGCATTTTAGTGGGCATAGTATTTCCTCCTTATGGGATTGGAAATGACTGTTTGGTCACTGTCCATGATGCAACTTCCTGGTTAGTAGTCTTGGAAAACAATTGGAAGAAAAAAAATCGGAATCCTGTGTCCAGCTTAAAGCTTCTCAAAATGGGTGAAGGATATCATCCACTTTGGGCAATGTTTTGGCATTTGAGTAAAGAATACTGTGTTTCTTATCGGTGTGCAGAAGATGGACTTGTCATCTGGTGAGACGTAGGTGGGGACATGGAAGGAGGAGGTCGACTGAAGGTGTTGAAGGCTATTCAATAGTGGAGAAATTGAGCTCGTGGCTACTACTGAATGGGATATCAGCGTCTGTGTTGTTCGGGAAAGCTGATATTTGAGGAGCTATTCGTGTACACTGAGAACTTTCGGAAGGGAGTTTGATGGCTTTTAATGGCGAGATTCATATACCCGTAGTGCTTCACTTCGGCACAGATTGTCGGTTCATCAACGAAGATGCAGTGTTTGCACACCATAAACAGGCAATAAAGTGAGGGTGATGGATCGGAGTGGGAACATGGATGGGTTCAAGTGCAGTTGATGGGGTGTGGGGTCTGTCCAACTTGTGGAAGGAGATGCTACTGAGATGACATTGTAGCCACCGGATCTATTTCTCGCTAATTGGTTTGTAATATTGGACATAGTATTGCGTTCAAACCGAAATTCAGCATCTAAAGCTCGGCCAAATGAAGCCTAAAATGTGTTGTGGTGTTTGAGATTCATCGTCTACCCCCCGCAGTGGAACTACATTTAGGCCGTTAAGGCTTTATCTGGTACGGTTTGGCGAATTACACGCATTCATCTATGCCTATACAGCAATGACGACTGATAAGAGGGAGTCCAATTTCATATCTGATTATCATCGTTTACGACAAAATCCCATAAGGAAAACGAGTTTTTGTACGTTGAATGGACTTTTTTTCACCAGCCTTTACCTATATTCCATGGACAAAATTTTAAAAACTAAAGTAAATCCGTGATCCTAGAATTTTGGTCGAATTACTCTGATTTTGCTTTATCATGCTACCTTTTCTGAGCCAATATAGGTGAGATACAATAATGGTCAAAAGAATGCTCAGAACTCGATGAGATCGAAAATCTGGGAAGATAACATTTCCTAAAAAAGCACTAACACCCAGCTGTAGCACTCTAGAATTCCCATGGGGTGGAGGAAGGCAGTAAGTGAGGTTGGATGATGCATTCCGAAGGGAACAGAGTGAATAGGTCTAAGCATGGCCTAAAGGCCAACCAAGTAGTACAAGGGCCGGACAGATCCTGAAGTGACGCCAGGATAAGCGTTTAACTGATTCTACTAAACATTTTTTACTGTAATTATATAAAGACGATCGCATTAAGCATGTGACGATAAATATTTGTACGTATTCCTTTTCCTATTGAAGAATCGACTGCATCTAGGAGTAAGTATTGACGCATTGCAAACAGTTTTAAATATATTTATACAATAAACCAAATTGAACATGGTAAATGCAAGAATCCCTGCTAGTGTCTGCGCTAGAATGCTTTGTTCTGGTATCAAAACTTTCGATGAAGTATGTGATATGTTAGTTTATGTTGCACATGGAAATTAATAAAAACCGACGTGCGACTACATCGCCAATGTTTATCATGCTTGTTCTGTGCAGCGCTGTTTTAAAAAGTAACGAGTGGCCTACGTCTCGACGCCTCACTTTGCAATGGAAACCCATGTCTGTCCCATTTGTCGTGATGAGATCGATTACTACTCCTATGGAAAATGCGATCATCCTACGTGCCTTTGTTGTGCTGTAAAATTAAGGCGTTTCGGAAATTCAGATGATCCTAATTATTCCAATTGTCCAACATGCAGAACACGCATCCCCAAAGTATTACAATTTTACCTTAGGAGATTTACTCGTAGATAATTATTATGGCGAAGTTTCAGCCATTCGATTCTGTTGATATGAGTACTCTGATTTCTGAGGCTGAATTGGACTTTCAGTTCGAAAACGAATCCATTCTTGCATGCTATAGAAAGTTAATGGCTTGTGTCTGCTCAAAGTGTGGCTTTACGGCTCCAAACATGTCGGCTCTTAATCGGCATACTACAAACGAACATCGCCTTTCATTTTGCGATCTATGCCTTCGTCATGCACATGTACGTTATTAAGTAATCTTTCTAACCGTACCTCTCTTTTCAGATGCTTCCATCGGAATTTGTTCCCCTCTCATGCAAGGATCTTGTTGCTCATCGAAAGTGGGATAAGGTCAAGAAGCGTGGCCATCCCGTCTGCGAATTTTGTGCGCAGACTTTCTACGAATTTGAAAATCTTATAATTCATATAAGGGAGGCTCATTTCATATGTGATTTCTGCCATACTATTGGTGTATTTGAGGTTTTTAGGTAAAGTAAATAAATGTTAAAGCTTAACACATTAATAGACGTCAGCAGGAATTGTTTTCCCACTACAAGCGGGTGCATTTTGTGTGCCCTGAGTGCGAGTCTGCTGGCAGAATGGCATGTTTTGCTTCAGAGGAGCAGTTAGGGATTCATAGGATTCGTGAACACCCGAACGAGTCAAAGAATGACCCGTCGCTGTGGGAGCCTTTGCAGATTCTCTACTCCAACCAAGGGCTTATTGGCCAGCATACTCGGGGGCGCAACGGTGGACGTCGTGGCCAAAACGCTGCAACTGAAGGTGGTGAAGGTGCATAGTTTACTCCCATTTTCCTATTTCTAGCCCAGTTGTGAATGGTTGCACTTAATTCCACTTTAATTTCATGGAATTTCTTACTGGTTCTTGGTGGATTATTTATTTTGTTTTGACATTAACGAACTCGATTTCTTCCGTTGCTCCTGCTTTGGTTATGAACTTTCTTCTCGATTGGCATTGTTGTAATGTTCGTATTTGTCTATATGCGTGATCTTAACCGGATGAGTTCCAAGGTTTTTTTAACATTTCCCAATTCTGTTACGATTCTTAAACCCATTCATTGTGGCTTTTGCCGTTGTCATCTTATTGTGCAAACTTAATGGTTCCAAGATTACAAGGGTGTGCTTTATACTGAGCTTTTGTTCCCTGAGCCATTTCTCGACTCCAATGGGTGCACAGCCCCGTTTATTTATTCATCGTAATTTGTTCTACCTGACCTGCTAGTACCCTGACAATGCTGGTTGCTTGGTTATAAATGATCGTTTTGTTTTTATTGTAACATCTTAGTTGATTTTCTTGAATCATTCGATCTCCCACCGTTTATTTTTGCATTGCATAGCAGATGGCCTGGTTGTGTTTTACCCTGCACAGCCGCGTGCTCCAATGCCGGAGGAATGGACAGTTACCGACTTCCCTTCCCTCACTGGAGAGAGGGCTGCGAACGACCAAAACGGCACTGATAATGAGGCAAGGTCGGAGGCGCAGCGGACGGCTGCTGCGGGAGGACGGCAGATGCGGTCGCACGCTGAAGTGGCGAGTGGACTGAGCGGAAGCAGCTCCGTTAACTCGCACAACCTCAAGGACTTTCCTGCCCTCCCTTCATCCTCCTCTGGCAATGCGTCAGAAAATCAGCCAAGTCAGTTGACTCTTTCGAATCATCGTCACTTGTTTATGAATCCATAATTTGGTCATTTATAATTGCTCATGCGACGTTGAAGTGGCTGGCCTTTTGAAGCGCAATGTTCTTTGTTATGTATGTGTGTGTCGTTATTTTCATGTGGCATTTGCACACGGTTGAAACATGTGTCTGTAGATGGACTTCAACTGTATCTATTTATTCAGCTGGTTACTGAGGCACCTGACGTTGAATATGAGTGTAATCCCGTGATACCAATTTGGTTTATAAACTACGAAAATTTGTGAGTCAACGCAGCATAATTGGTCTCAACTTATGGCAATGACCCGTTTCGCCGGTATCACACTGTCTGTCTTGTTCTACCCTCATTTAAACAGCGTCCCAGCCAAAATGGTTGAGGCCTAAGACGGATTCATCCGCGACCATAGTACCTAAACCTGATGGTCCAAGATTAACTCAAAAATCGGCTCCTAAAGAGGATGATTTTCCCAGTCTGATCGGCTCTTCCACCGCTACCAATCATATCGTACCAACGAATTGGGGTGCGGCACCAAACAAGGTCACACCGAAGCCGAAGGAAAGCAAACGCCTCCCGACCGGTGATGATTTCCCAGCTCTAGTATCTACTGCTTCAGCTTCTTCCACCACCACCAGTCATCGTATTCTTCCTGAACCTCGTCTCCCCTCCTACGTACTCCCACCGTCTAAGCAGACAGAAAAGGCCAAGGATAGGAAAACGAAATCAAGGGTTGTGGAACCTTCACTCCCTCCAGCTCCCGATTTGGAACCCTTCTCCTCGGCCTTACTTAAAGCTAAAAAGAGCTCTTGGTGGAATAGCGCCGATAACGATGTGAGTTGCATTTGTGTCCATCGAAGGCGATTTCAATCCTGATTGATATACACTGCCTGGCTAACGATAAACCTTATTTCCCTTCTATGAAGCCAAAGCGGAATCTTGAGGTTTTAAAAGGTCTTCTTATGGGTGGAAAGTCGCAGTCATTCGTGTGGTAGCATTGAACCACATTGTGACGATCTATTCCACTTTGCTCGTGACGCCTGGATGTCAATCTTTCGAAGCTGGATGCCAGTCGTTCATCTGAACAATGTGAACTCTTATGGCGAATTGCCTATTCACCCATTATGTAGTTTAGTTGCACAATTTTGAATTTGTCTGACAACTGTCCCGATAGAAATGTCCGTCTTTTTGAGCGTGTGGCATTTGACGGTCAAAAGGCTTACGTGGTAGCAAATGAATGCTGTGTAACGGTGGTGGGGCGAAATCCACGCGAAGGTAGTGTAATCATGCTCTCACAACGGTCAGAAGCTGATAACCGCTATGGATTACAATCGCCTTCCGTTGTCTTCCCGATAGGGTGCAGTGTCTCGAATGGCTAAGGAAGAGAACGGTGAGGGCGGTAGGATGGCTGCACCAACGTACTCCCGAATACAAACCGTAGATCACTTTGAATCTGCTGAAACTGCAACACCCTCAGCACCGCCTCCTCCGCCAGAATTTTCGTCTAAAGACTTCCCAAGTCTTGGCGGTGGTGTAAATTCGTCAAAGAAGAATGTCTCTACAAAATCCACCGCCACAAAGAAACCACAAGAAGTGAAAGAGGGCAAGAAGTCAGCTGCAGCCACACAGTTACCACAGAAACCGTCACCAAAGCCAAGGAAGGACGACACTGACGCTGGTCATGTTCAGGCGCCTAGCCAAATTCAGACGCCGTCCGAAGAACCGAAAATTTTGCCGTTTCTAGAGGACACTGAGACGGTTTTATATGAGAAGGTAATTTGTCGTCCAAAGCTAATGTGATTAACTTTGTGTCACCGTTTCACTCGCTTTTTAGAATGTCTATACTCCACCGCTAGACTATGAGGCCAAAAATCGGGAGGTTATAACAGCAGCCGAGACGGTTTTGAGTGGTGAAGGCTACCCCAAAAACGCCTTTACTCGGTTTGCCAGTCTTTCGCGTCTCTTTCGACATGGCCAGCTTTCGGCCCATTCCTATTTGGAGGTTTGGCGCTCATAAATTATAACAGTGGTACTCGTGCCTGCTGCTCCAGTAGGCTCGTTTCCACTTCCGTTGTTTCCTACTCATGCTTTACAAGTAGATATTCTCATATGCGCTTTTGCAGGCATTGGAGAGCCTGTTGACTTGCAAGGGCGGGCTGTCGCAAACGGATTGGCTTAGTTCGATGATCGCCCTCCTGCCCGACGTAGGCCTTCAGCGTGCCCTCCTTCGTGCCTTAAAGGGTGAGGCGGCGCCTCGAGTGCCCCGTGTTTCCACACCCGCGCGTTGTCGTGGCACTCAGACGCCTGTCTGGGCCAAGAGTGTTGTCGCTACCCTACAGGTCTGCTCAGTCTGTGGTCAGGTTGGTTATTTGTTCGGGCTTTGCTTTGCAACCTTTTATCTGTCACTTTTAAGGAGCTGTCGATTGCTTTTTTTTCGCAGGTGTGCCAGCGCTCAGGCATGCGTGAACACACAGAATTGGCACATAGCTGAAGCCAGCCAATGCTTTTCCTTCTTACTCATTTTCCTCCTGCTCCTCCTTCCCTCCCACCTCGAGGCCCCTCTGCCCCAAATTTTTAAAACCAAACCCCTAATTATTCACTCTCAGTTCTGCATTGCCTTAACCACACCCCCCCCCCTCCGCAGATATGCATATGTATGGGCGTTATTATTAAAGTTGATAAATTGGTTCACTAATTCCTTCATGAATTTATGTGCTTGTTTGTTTGTTTACTTCTTCCTCAGTTTCAAAACTGTGGAGATTTGTATGACTTCTTAAGCCTAACTGTTGTTTGAGTTGACTCCCGGAAGATACCGAACGTTTTGTCGGTTTATGTCGGAGCGGCTTTGGTTCATTCCACTTGAGTCGCTTTGTTCAGGACAGCCTTCCACTTGAGCGCCCGTATTGGCTTGCCTCAAAGTGGCATGCTTGGGCTCCCAGTGTTATTGCCACGTTGCTGGTGTCAACATGTCGCCGGTATTTCTTTCAATGGGCGAAGTTTCGGCTTCCTCTACACTACGCATCCTTACTTTTTGAGGCACTTTAATCATGTCCTTGTCAATTTGTCAAGTGTGGGCTTTGGTTGTTACATTGGCTCTCTCATGCTGTGATTGAGGACGGCTTAGTACCGGCATCTGGTGTATCTGTTCTGCCTAACTCTGGTGTCGATTTACAGCACAAATGGCGTCTGCGAAGCAAAAACACCGTCGTCATGGTCGCCATCGTCACCGAAAATCCCGCTCTGCAATGGCCGCAGCTGCAGCACAGGAACGGAAATTGGCACGCGCTCCTCACAGTTTTGTTTTTGCCCGTCCCGGTTGTGGTTCTTTCGTTAAGGCACTCTCTTTGGATGTGCGTCGGGTGTTTGAACCCTTCACAGCCTCCCGACTTCACGTTAACCGACGCAATGTATTGAAGGACTTCATAAACATCGCCGGTCCCCTTCACGTCTCGCATATCCTCTACTTCACCCACCCTAGATCAGAGAAGGTCATTGCGAAGCGAGTGCGGCATGCTGCAAACGTGGAACGTCGAAAGGGTGTAGCGCTGAAGGACACTGAAGACGAAAACGAGGATGCAACTAAGTCGGATGGCAGCAGTGGAATTGGAGGCGTCTACCTCCACCTAATTCGTGCACCCAGTGGTCCAAGTTTGACATTTCGTGTATCAGAATACTCTCTCACTCGCGATGTCATCACCTTAGTGCAGAAAGTTTTTGATGTACGACAATTTTCCTCTCCTCCGCTTCTTGCTATGACTGGCTTCGGTGCGGGAGGCACGGCTACTGCTCCACCTCCACCACATCTTCGTCTCGTTGTCGACATGTTTCAGAACATGCTACCCTCGCTTAATGTTCAAAAAGTGCGTTTACCAAGGCATTTGTCAACTCGGTCTTGTGAATGCTCTTCATTATTTTCAGCTAAAAGTGAGCAGTGTCCGTCGAGTGTTGCTGTTAAGTCGCGAGATTGACGCTTGTAGTGATGGTGATGGTGGTGAGGAAAAGGAAGTCATCTACTTGCGTCACTATAACATCCGCCTGGAGAACCGATCCATTAGTCGCGCTCTGCGTCGCCTTGGTATGGGTGGAGCACCATTGCGACGCCGACGCGATCGCGCTGATGCTGGTGGACTGGGTCCGCAGGGCTTTGGCAGGTCTTCGGGTGTTCCCAACCTCGCAAACTACACTAGCATCGACGAATACCTCTCAAAGTACTCTTTTTCTTTTGCATTTCAATTTCATAAGAGTGCATTTTCAAGTGGATAGGTTTTCATACCTTTTTTTTATTTTTATGCATCTTTTGATTGACTTTAGTTTAGGGAGTTCCGATGCACTCCTCACAGAACTCTCTTTTCATTCCTAAATCACATTCTCCGGTTATTAGGGCAAATCTGCTGACGGAATCAGCAGCCTCAGAACTGGAGGATATGGCAGAAGTCACGCTGCCAGGTCAATCGGTGGCAGCGGACGAAGGCGCAGAGAAGCCCTCACTGAGTGGTAAGAGTAGTACCAAGGTGATTAAAGAAGAACGCGCCCAAGCCAAGGCTACACATGGCTTCACTCACCTCAGTGGTTGTCGCAAGGCCTGTGTTCGTCTCACCGAAATTGGTCCTCGTCTCACCCTCCAACTCATAAAGGTGAAATTCACTGCCGCATCCTATCGTGATAGGCTTTTAAGTTGGTGTTAAACTTTACACGTGTTTTGGGGTGTTTGGATAGATTGAGGAGGGTGTGAATTCGGGTGCCGTGCTCTATCACAGTTGGCAGAAACGTACGCCACAAGAGATTGCCCAACAGGAGGCGGAAGTTCGGGCAAAAGAGGCAGCCAAGTTGCAACGACAAGAGGAACAGGAGCGACGACGTCGGGCTAATGCAAAAACTGATGCTACCACTTCGTCCGCCTCCGTGATAGCTACAGGGGCGGAGGGTGAAAATCATGAAAACGGCAGCAGTGATGAGGACAGGCTTTTGATGCATCAGCTGAGTGATGAGGAGGAAAGAGAGGAGACGGAGACAACACCTAAAGAGGAGAAAGGAGTTGAGGTGTCCAAATTGAAGAGGAGGAAGAGAAAGCTGAAGAAAATACCACGCAAACATCCCGCCTACACCTATCTTGTAGAGAAGGCAAAAAGTGAGTTCAAAATAGGTTCCCTCTATTGTTCGGGTACGACTTGCTTGACACCTTTTTTTCGTCACCTGCCTTTTTCTTTCTCTTTTTTTGTTTTTTTTTTAGAACGGAAATTAATGCAAGGATAACAAGTTGAAGAGGTGGAATATAAAGTGTATTTTGCGAAATGTGGATAAATATCTTTTTTTCATAATCTCCACCAGGCTTCCTTTTGTGATGCCAATCTTCGAGAATCGACATCCCGTGACTGCTTTTTCAGTGGTGTCTAGAGTTTTGTGAAAATTGCCACATTCGTAGCAAGTGGAGTGGATGTTGAAAATGCAGTGAAATTAACAGCCTTGAACTGGGCACCTTTTCTGATAGTTACTAAGCTTCATATCACATAAAGTTGGGCTTGTGTGCATTTTGTGGCACCTTCAGACGCAGCCTACAAGACACGTTGGAATTACCACCGACTCTGATTGGTGTGATGTTAGGGGCGCGAGGCTTGAATCTAACCAGTAGCGAAGTCGAGAGGCACTAAAACAAGCACACATGTTACGCCCTGTAGCGTGGTCAGTTCCGTCTCTGTTCTCGCGTGAGCGCTGCGGCGGTAGTGATGGCAGAGGAGGATGGAAAAATTGAGCTGAATGAAGCGGAGATCGCTTCGGACTCCATGATTGCTCTACGTGAAGCGGCTTTCAAGTGCGCCTTCGATAAGGGGCTCTTCGCCTCTCCCTTCGACTCCACGACCATGGAGGCGCCGAGGTACATGGTGAAGTATGCGGAACCGCCGTTGCGATACGAGTGGTTATCTCGTGTTGTAGCTGATGGCTTTCGTTTGGATAAGGAGGGATGTTATCCTTCTGGTCTGTTTAAATTTGTAGTTACTGTGTCGAAGTCAAATTCAGCACCGACAGATGTGCAAGTAGAACAGGTGTTTGTCTAAGTGCGAGAGTTATTTCTTTTCGTGATAAATAATTCTATGCTTAGTAGTTCATTTTCCAGTTGGTGATGGAAGAAGGGAACTGTTTAAGGGTGACTTTACAATGAAGGTAATTTCCCAGTGCAATGCCTTTATAACGCCTACTTAAAGCCCCTTTACACGGGCATGCACGCACTTCATTGGGATGATAAGTGGGAATTCTTCGACCTCAAAGTAGGCAATGCTAACGGGAATCTACGCCCTTTTGGCAGGACTGGAAATATCACTCCTATAGCTGACGAATGGATAGCTCGGCTACAGGCCGCTACCATGACACACCGAAGAACTCAGGATATTCTTTACCCTAGGGAATTTAGTGGTAGGTGTATTGCTCATGGATTCTTCGGTGGTTAAGAAATGGTAGGTCCATCACGATTCACTATGTGCAATCGCGGAGTTAATCAATCATTTCGAGACCATTTTTAATAAAGGCAGGCATTGGGAGTCAGAGCAAACAAATGTGATCATGGCTATGAAAGTAGGTTGCAGGGCTGCCCGTTAAATTTCACAAAACAGCGTCTTACTCATTCCAAGTTTTAGGGCGATAATTCCCCAAATGCAAGTACTTGCTTAATTAAACAAAATTAAAAATTGAGACAGAAGGGAAGAGATCAACTAAAAAGCGAGTTTAGTGATGGTATGAATATTTATAATAAAAGATAAGTTTAATCTGAGAAGCGTGAAATTAAGGCAAAAATTGCAGGACGTAGCCTAATCAGAGCATGGTGCAAATGTTTTTTGTACGAAATCGTGTTATATTTTAGCATTATATTACAGGTCCGTGTTATGTGTAAATGGACACAATATTGCTTGTCTGGGGTACAATTTACTTGGTTTAAGAGAGCTTTTTATTTTTAGTTTATAATTAATAATGAGTTGAATGTTATATTTTAATTAATATATTTTCAACTTTTTGTTTTTTTATTTTGAACTATAAAAGTCTATTTATATTGCCTTCACTTAAAACAATTAAAAGTCCTTGAGAAGATCGTTAATACCTTGAAGACTCCTTCGAACGTATATATAGACATAGAACGAGGGTCGGCGCTGTTGTCATCAAAGTTTTTTTAAGTTTTTAATCGTTTTGGGTCCATGATTTTTACTTATTAGTGTTATTTTGTAAAGGAATAATGTGGTCTTTCCATATGTGGTGGGGACATCGTAGCATATATATTCCGTAGTCCCATTATTGTTGTTAACAACTCGTGATCTTATCAGCATGATTCGAAAAATGTTAAACTTTTTATGGTGTTCAATTTTTTTATTGGGGGAATATGGCACTTTTGCCTAGCTTAATTTATACTGGCGCATATTTGGGATACGATGTTTCTTATTCTGGTACTTTTAAATTCATTTGTGCAGGTTTGCGTAAAAGTCTATAATCAAATTACACAAGGAAGCAATGGAATCATACTATAAACTTGGTGACTCTGGCCTAGCGGTTCCCATGGAACTTCACAGAGTTAATCGCTTAAGGCTTTGCAATCGTCTTCAATCCCTTTGGTCATCCGGCAAAGCCCCAACTAAAACTCTAAAGGGGGTCTACATTTTACTCGAGGGCGGTTCGTTGTACTACCATGGTGAATCTGATGTGGAATATGTGTTTCGTCAGGTAGCACTCTTTTTTGAACCTTACTTAATCCCGATGTGTATCTTGTTGTTATTATTCCTTTTGTTGCAAAGGAATCATATTTTCACTGGGCATTCGGAGGACAAGAACCATTTTGGAAGGGAGCAATCGAAGTCGCTACCCAACACTCCATCTTGTTTGTTCCAAAAGTGTCTGAGGAAGAAGAAGTTTTTGCGGGAGAAATCCCATCGCCTGCTGATATTGCTGCAAGATATGGTGTGGATGAAGTTCATTACACCAACGAAGTAAGTGCTCAAGATGTTCATTCTAAAGCTGTCGCCTAGTAAAAGCTTTTATAAGGTCCTGAAAAACTTCTTTCTTCATTTAGATAAAGGAGTTTTTCAATGAAAAGAATCCAACACTGCTGCTAACATTGGTATGTTGGCAATATTGATAGCTCTCTTTTGCTTATGCAGCTTTTTAATTCTTTGAACTTTTTTAGCTCGGACTCAATTCGGACAGTGGTAAATTCACTTTACCGGCGTTGTTTGATGGGATTGAAAAGTATGTCATGCCTTCATTATGCTGTGTGATTATGCTTTTTTCTACACGGATCAACAGGCATTGCAGAGATTTCGACCATTTAGAGTGTCGTCGAAATTTCAAAACAGATTCCATTGTTTACCCATGACAGCTACAAGTTTTGAGGGGGCGTGGTGTCTGGTTTGTGGCGACACTCACCGTCTACTGTTGCACATCTGATTGCCAATTGCTTCATTCATTCTTTTCAGCGTTAAAAATCGACTTATTTAAACACAAAAATTGTACTCTTTGGAGTAGCATACAATAACTTGAAGGGAATGTGACGGCATCACGTCTGACCGCTCCTCAAACGTGACTCCATCGATTGGGATATTGGGGAATGGCATTTAGAAACTCATTCTTTTAGCACATGACCTTTTTCATTAGTATAATGCGTCTCGTGCTTACTTCATTTTAGATTTAATGTTGACTCCACTGTCCTTCATCATGAGATCTCCGAATGGTAGGTCACGCTCAAAAGCCTATTTCTGGCCATTCTGTTTAGCCCCCATTTTACACCTCATTTTCCACACTTCACAATGCTTTATTGTTTACCTTGGCAACCCTTTCTCCTGCGAAAAAGCAGAACCTTTGTTTACGCTGCGCGTGTAAACAGAGATAGACGCTACTGCTTTGCAATTTTTATGTTTACTTCGTCTTTCGTAAATACTTTCGTATAAGTGACCACCCGGACCTTCATTATCTGTCACTACTCCTCCATCTATTTTAATAAGTGCATTTCTTTGACCCTTTACTCGGCTCATACACCGATCCTTCAAGCTTTGATGTTTGACAGACAACTTACGCCTGTACCCTTCACTGTGACTACTATGCGTGTGTGTGGCCACACCTTTAAATGTGCTTTTTTCGTACTCCCCCGTTGTCTTTGATTCTGCTGACAAAAGGTTGACTTCCCTTCTGCAGTCGTCTCATCAAGACACCACTGGAGCTGGCAGTGATGCGCTACGCAATAGCCGTAACTTCGGCAGCGCATCGTCATCTCATGCGGAAAGTGAAGCCTGGAATGTTTCAATTCCAGATGGAAAGTCTATTTCAGCATTACTGTTATGCCAACGGTGGTTGCCGCCACATTTCCTTCCCGTGTATTGCTGCCACGTAGGTTTCTTTACATCTTTTAAACTTAGCCCCACGGAAAGCGGCTTTTAACTACTCTATCGTACCAACTTAATCTGTGATACAATAAAATATGATTGTTTTTCACAGAGGTCGTGACACGTACATCATAAACTACGGTTACCCGACTACACCAAATGACAGCCGAATCAATGAAGGTGACATGTGTCTCTTTGACATGGGTGCCGAGTATTACTGCTATTGTGCTGACATAACCTGTTCATTCCCTGTCAACGGGAAATTCACATCCGATCAACGCTTCATCTATGAGGCTGTTTTGGCCTCCAATCGGTTAGTTTAGAAATAACCTATTCGCTTCATTTGAAGGTCATAGATGTAAATGCTTTATTTGTTGTTTTTAGGGCAGTAATAGGCCAACTTCGACCTGGGGTGAGTTGGGTGGACATGCACAATCTGGCCGCGCGGACTCTCTTGGAACATCTGAAAGCGGGGGGGTTGTTGCGAGGACATATCGAGGACATGATGAGCGTCCACCTCGCTGCTATATTCTCACCGTGTGGACTAGGCCATCTGCTGGGTTGTGACGCTCACGACGTCGGAGGGTACAACAAGGTAAGCGTAGTAACACGATTAAGTATTTCGGGGTGCCGAGACCAGACCCGTGCATTCACCCCACTGTAAGTGCAGACAGGGCCTAACTTGGATACTGGATTTACAAATATTTACTCTTCAAGGGCACCCCTTCGAGGCCGATAGAACCGGGTCTAAACGGCCTGAGAACTGCGCGTTACCTTATGCCCAACATGGTTCTGACTGTCGAACCCGGATGTTACTTCATAAAGAAGCTACTTGACGAAGCAAAGGCTTCGCCAAAACTTAGTCAGTTCCTGGTCCTCGAAGAGCTCGAAAGATTCAATAACTTCGGTGGCGTAAGGGTTGAAGATGATGTTCTAATAACAGAAGATGGATGCGAGATCCTCTCGGACGTTCCACGTACGGTGGAAGAAATAGAAGACTGGATGTCCCGCGAGACGACTGAATACGACTCTTTGATTTAACTGATTCATTTTAAGATGTTTGAAATAAATGGTAGCATAGTTTCATATTCTCTTGTATATGAGTTTTAAAACCACAATTCCTAAACGCACTGAATTATACAGTTGAACAACCACAAGATAAGCACAAGGGTAGTGAGTGTCGAGGTTCCTACTTTCACTCAATTAGTAGCATAGCAACCACGTGACCACCCAAACCGACATGTGGGAAGCTTAGAAATTAGTCTATAATCACATCAGTCATTCTGAGACAAAAATAATGGCAACAACCGCATGAAGCCATTAGAATATATGTACTTTAATTCGGGCATGTACATTACGCGGTTTTCTTCTTCGGTCGCATGTTCTTAATCATCTGAAGAGTGACTTTCCGCATGCGATAGTTGCTTATGATATTATTTCGCTGAATAAGAGAAGAAAAAACGACACGGTAGACTATGACATCAACAAACGAGTGAGAGTGTAAGCAAAGGTAATAATATCTGGAATTATAATGCAATAAAATTATAATATATGCAAAGACTCACTGTCTTCCTTGCTACCATGACCTGGAAACGTTGGAAGTCAGTGAGGCCTGCACGAATACGCTTTTTTTCCAGCTTGCGAGCCCACATTGATTTCCTCCAGAGTGACCCTATCTTCTGCTTACGCCACAGATCCTTAACTCCGCGAGTACCACAGTTAGGTGGGAGCTTCATCACAAACTTGGTTAAATGAAGCCTCTTGATGTTGACAGGACGTCGGGGCACGCCTGTACAAGGTCCATCAATGAGCACACGATTCTGATCAATAATATCCACAATGACGGCAACTTTTCTGGCAAAAGCCCCGTGAGAGATAAAGACTACGCGACCACGTTGAACAAATCGGGTGTAATGTACCATGAGTAAGCTAAAAGTAGGGAACCACGAAAGCACGAGCAAGCCCCCAAAGACAAACGCCCCACGAAGTTGCGGATTCAAACAAATCGACGAATTGAATAGATTACTTTAATGAACTAAGAATAAGCTTGTTTGAAGGAGCCTGTTTTAGTTTAAAATTCACTTTACGTTTTTCAATTTTGTTGATACTTTATTAATTTTTTAAATTGACGTATTTATATTAGTCGTGCATAATTGCACTCCACTTCCAAATAAACTTCTATTAAATGCCAAACTTACTAAATTGGTCATTTAAAACTTATTTGTCTTTAGATCTGTGAACCTCAGATTTCAGGGAAAGTTGGTTTAGGGAACACTACTAGGCATCGTTTACAAGAAGAAAAGATATTGGCGGCAATTGATGGGACAGAAACTCAGTGTCACCCGAGAAGCATCTTTTACGCTCTACTTGAGAAGAATTTGTGACTGAATAGCTTAACTTTCTCTCCACTATAAAGACGAAGTTAGGTAGACTAGATTATTCTACGCACCGTCCTTGACGCTGGTCGGTACAGTTTTGTCATGCGGCTTCTCTTCTTCGCAACCTACTAGTTAGGAGTCTACATATGATGCACTTTTATTGGCTGAGTGCCAACCTCCGCATTCCGACTGGGGTAGTTCGCGAGTGACAGGATCTTGATTACTCGGTGAGGTTCCTTCCTCGAGGGATAGTTGAATTACTGGCGGGTTCTTAGTGGAGGAATTAGACGGTACAATTACGCTTGATCTTCCTTATAAGATACGCTTGTATATCTATTTTTACTGTAAAACATATTTGTCTGGAATATGCACTCTGTTTTAAACTCTTTCCTGAGGCCCTCCTTTGGGCACAAGACATACTGGGGCGCGTTATCCGCTGACTACTTTAACGCGAAAGAGGAACGTCAGAAGGAACTCTCAAATCACGGTCCATGGTCATCTTGAAATGTGAGACTGCGGCCGGGGTGTGGATTTTGGCTGGGCAGGCAAGGAGGGCGTGTTCTATGTGTAAATTCTAGTCCTCCGATTGCACTCCTTTTTTGAAGGCCTTCAGGAGGTCCACAAAAGTATGATTTGACCTTTCATATTGCCGATTGTCCTGGGAATGACCTGACTTGGTACGCTTTTACACATCCCAAAAGTTTTGTACAGCTTTTGATTAGACGACTACTAAAATTCGGTTCATAGCCGCTATGCGCTGATTCATGCAGGCCATGTTGACAAATCCAGTGCTTAAGGAATGTGGTTACCACTGCCTTAGCGTCCTGCGATTATAACGTTTCTGTTTCCACGATCTTAGGTGAAATGATCTACCATCATTAGAATGTAGCGATTCCATCATGAGAGTATTGGAAACAGGTCCATGATATCTATGCCTACTGGGTCCCCTAGATATGCCGTGGACATCGGCTGAAGAGGAGCTACCACGGTGCTGTTCGAGTTCTCGAAGCTGGTACACGTGGAGCGCGTGGAACAGAAATCGAGGAAATCCTATGTCAGCTGAGGGCCACCAATACCTTTCACCTGCTGCGTCAACTATCCTCCTTTCTCCCACATGGCCAAGTCACCCATACAACTCCAACAGAGCTCTCTGCGTTAAGAAACCTGTTAGGGTTAGGACCTGCCGCATTGTCATCATTGTACCCCATGACGCCACTTCTGTCATATTTGTTTGACACACTTGCTCGCCAGGCTCATCTCCTCGACTGTGAGCTTGGCCGAGGATGCCCTTAGTCTCTCATGCACTAGAGCTGTAAAGTCGAAAAAGCATAATTTTGAACTCATAAATTCCGTTTGGTACAATGTAGGCCGTTTCTCCCTCACCCTTCTCCACGACCTGGGCATTCCAGTAGCCGGATTTCAGGACCAACATCGAGAGCCACTTGACTTCCTGAAAAGAATCCTACGTGTCATTAGTGTTTTTTACTGCATTGAACCTCCTATAGTCGA